GACAGAAGGGTATGAAAGGTAAGTTGAATTAAGCTGAATTCACTACATTTACCTTTCCTAGCAAAGGATTTTTCTAAACCCTTTTTATACCAGAATTTGAGGTAAGAACAGTCTTCCAATAGTAATAGCATTGATCATTCCTATATACAAGAGAATGCTCAGTCCTCTTATAAAAAATTCTCATAACACAAAATGCCTGAAATTCATTAATAAGGAGTATATCCAAGATCAGGCCCAAAGGCCTTCCATTCATCTCTAATTTATAGCCATAGCTGATAAATAATTTATAAGATTCTAGCAACTGGGCTTGGACAGCATTGCAGACTAACTGTGACCTTGCAAGGTCTGCAGCATCTGCCCTTGGCCAACAGGGGTCTTTTCCACCCTAGGAGGTAAGCTATGAAATCCTCTTCTATTGATTCTGACAGCCATTGTCAACCCAAGTCTTTTTTCTTAGTTCCTGGAACAGGCATTCAAGAAGAGGCAGTGACCCTATTGGCTAAAAATTGCAAAGGATTCTACAACTAGCACAGGCCTTGCTAGTGCTAAGAAAGGAGAAAAGTTGGCTCCCTTGCCAATGCTAGAACCTCCATGCCAAACAAGTCATGTCACTATCCCTAATAAAATCCTGATCTTTCCCCAGGCATTGTACCTTTCTTTTGGGTGTTACTGTAGAAGCACACTGCTTCTATGGTGGTATGTTTTCTTGGTACACAGTTAGGTCACTGATCTTTCTTCTGACCCCATGAAAAGGTACCGCATGATAAAAATCATTCAGACCCAAAGCCACGTCTGGCTTTCTAAGCTATCATTATTTTAGGATCTGGCAGGATCACACTGAAACATTTTAAATGGAACTATTCTACAGAGAGGTTTTGCTGCCTCAGCTCTTTAGAGGAAGGTGACTACAATTCAAATTCTTCTACAAATAAATTTTTAACAAGAAAATAAGGGAAAAACCTTAGTGATGTTTGAGACCTTGGTATCAGAAAATCTCTAAGCACCTGAATTACATTGAAAGAGGGCTGGGCAAGGGACTCTGTTACTAGGAAAGTTTTTTCTAAAGGGAAAAAAGAAGGCTTCCAGTCAGGCTTCAGTACCATGCTCATGTGGATATTAATCTCTGTGGTATTAATAGTACCCCCCCCCCGAAAATGTGAAAGGCAACATCTTAAAATGGTTGATATGTGTTAGGTAGCTGTTTCTAATTTTGCTTTCAAGAAATGTCTGTAGTGCCTAGCTCCTGTTATAGACTAATGACCTTCCAAATCTCACTTTTAACAAGTTTACACTTTAAGTTACAAGAACACAAGCAGTTTAAGAGTCAAGTTGAAGGATGAGAAGTTTGCACCTGCTGCTCTGCTCTGCAGCCTTAATTACAGCAGGACACACGTGCTCACTCAGTTTATGCACATTACTGCTAAGGGTGGACCAGCCAAGGCTCTGGCAAAACTTGTAAAGAAATTAGTACTCTCAGGGCCATTAAAGTAGAGGCAGCTTTCCATTACTTTTTACTTCACAGCAAAGGTGTGTGTTTTCCTTCCTTCTTTCCTTCCTTCTTCCCTCCCATCCTCTTTCTTCCTTTTTAAAATTAAAGGCACATGTTTTTAAGATGTCTTAGCCAATTACTTTAGATTCCTCACAGTAGAGCTTCTTTAGTTTTAAAATTACAGGTGCAAAAGTAAATTTGTTCTTGATCCTTTATGACTGCTTCATTTCTCATTCTATGTGGAAAAAGGCTATGTAATCCAATTTATACGACCCCCTTAACATGGGAATGAGAATTTTCAGATGAACAGTTTTACTCTGGGGCCAAGATGATCTGGGCTGAGAACTGAGTGCAAAGAAGCAACTAAGAGTAGCAAGTGAGGAAGGCACCAATAAATATTCTCTGCCTCTTGAAGACTAAAAACTTATGACACTTGTTTTTCCTTGTCTTCCTATTCCCCATGCACTACTCTTTCTTAAGCCCCCTTATATGTTGCTGGCTTTTAGACCCCTTCCATAACACCTGTTATTTGCATGGTACTTGATAAATACTTTTGTAAAATTATTTCTTGCTTGTTCATTATAATGATCTATAAGGTGGGCAAAGTGGGTAACATCCTGGATGTTAAGAGGGAGGTAATGAGTGAGGGGAGAAGGCAGTAATCACGTCTTTAGCTTTTGTCCATTGCTCCTTCTTACCCCCACACAATTTCCTGAGAGACACTAAGGTGGAGCGGCTGAGAGTGTGGGCTAAGGAGTCAGACTAATGGGGTTCATTCTGGCTCAACAACTGTGAGTATGATTGTGTTATTTATTCCCACTGTAAAAGGAGGATAATGGTACCTACTTCAGAAGGTTGTTGCAAAGATTAAATAAGCTATGCAAAAATGTTCTGAACACTGTTTGGTACATACTGAGTGCTCAATATTGTTGCTACTATTTTTTGTCAGTTTTAACTCTCCATGTCTCTATTGCTGTAGGTCCCTTGGGACTGCAGTTTTTTTTTTTTTTTAATGTTAATTTATTTTTGAGAGACAGAGACAGAGTGTCAGTGGGAAAGGAGCAGAGAGAGGGAGAGAGGGGGAGAGAGAGAGAGAGAGAGAGAGAGACAGAATCCGAAGCAGGCTCCAGACTCTGTGCTGTCGGCACAGAGCCTGATGCAAGGCTCAAACCCACAAACCATGAGATCATGACCTAAACCAAAGTCTGAAGCTTAACCAACTAAGCCACCCAGGCACCCAGGACTGCAGCTTTCTAACTCTTGCTTTAGTTGAGAGGATTTAGGGGATGCTACTGTATAAATCAGTTCCATCAAACCTTTGCCATATGTTTATATCTGATGCTTCCCCGTCCATACATATCTCAGAGAACCCAGAGGCCGTTAAGGGAGATTCTGCTCAGAACTATACAAGATTGTAGTACAAGCACTTGCATTCAGTGTCTCAATGACCAACTTCTAGTGATTAATTTGGTCAGAAGAAAGGATGGCTTTAATTTGCTTTTGTTTACAAAAGTAGACATAGTCCTGCTTTACCATGTCTTGACAGGTGAACAGTTTAAATGGGGTTACAGAATAGAGGAAGAAAATGGAATAGGTTGTGACATTTTGCCCACTGCTACTGCCTGTTTTGAGGTGGTGCAGACACACAGGTTAGGAGCTGTAGCATCTAAAATGAGAATGGAGTGAATGAACTGTCTGTGAAACAAAACTGAAAGAATACACACAAAGGGATGTAACAAGAGGATCTTCCCACCCCAAAACACAGGAAGAGTCTTAAAAATACTATTATTCTAGTAACTTACAAAATAAATATCTGGAGGAGACATGAGAACAAATGAATAGAAACAAAATTAGCACAAAGAAAAGGTTTGAGTAGAGTGTTTCCATGATAGCCTCTGCATATAAGAACTCATCAGTGATACAGACTTTAGATGGCTATAGCTCTGTGAGCTGTCTCCATTTTAAAGTGAAAAACAGTGATGGTACTGGAAATAAGAGTGCTGATATTGGTATGAGAGGGCTAGTAAAAGCTATGGACGATGACTGGTGGGTGATGTTCCCTCTTCTGTGAGGATAATGACCTAAAAATGCAGTTCAGCATATTGCCTCTAGGTAACATTTCATCATAGGGTATCCACTTTTGGCTTGTTATATGGTTCTAATTTTGACAGTGAATAGTTATCCAAATCTGAGTTGTATTCAGCTGAATTGATTTGTTTTCTCAAAACTGTAAAGATGTTCCACTGTTGCTTCATCTGAATTGCTTCCAATAAGAAATCTATCATCCTTGTTTTTTAAAACATTTTTTCCCTGTAGTTCCTTTTAAGATTTTGTTCTTTATCACTAGTTTTACCACATCATGTTTTGATTAGGATGTGCCATAGTGTAGTTTTATTTATGTTTCTTATGCTTGGGGTTTGTAGAGCTTCTTGGATCTCAGGTATTACTTCTGATCAAAAATGGAAATTCTATTGCCATTATTTCTCCAAATATATTTTTCTTATTCCTGCCCTTCCATCCCCTGTCCCCTGCAGGAACTCCAATTATGTATGTGTTAGACCATTTGAAGTTAACTTGTAGCTTAAGGATGTTCTGGTTTCATGGGGGGAGGGGACTGGAGAAAGGGCAAGGGGTTACTCTTTGCTCTGTGTGCTTCATTTTCCATAGTTTCCAATTATATGTCTTCAAGTCCACTAATCCTATCTTCTTATATGCCATTAATTTCATCCAGTGTGTTTTTTAATCTCTTACATTACAGTTTTCATTTCTAGAAATTTGATTTGAATCTTTTTAAAAATATCTTCCATGTCTCTACCTAACTTATGAACATAAAAAGTACAGTTATAATAATTGCCTTACTGTCATCTTCTAATCTTAACATCTACATAAATTCTGCATCGGTTCAATTGAGTGATTTTTCTCCTTAGTACGAGTTGTGTCTTCCTGCCTCTGCATGTCTCTTTGATTGGATCCTACTCATTGTGATTGGCTTTTTTCATAGATATTTCTGTATACCTATAATTTTCAAGTTTGTTCTGTGACGCACTTCAGTTACTTGGAAACAGTTTGATTCCTCTGGGTCTTGCTTTTAAATTTGGCGGGGCATGATGAGAACACAATTTAGTTGAGGGCTAATTATTCCCCACTACTGAAAAGAATCCTTCTGAGAACTCTACTCAACTGTCCCATGAACTTTAACCAATCTATGTGAGCATCGGGTGCTGCTCGCTCTTATCATTTGGGCTAGTTCTTTCCCAGCCTCAGGTAGTTTCCTAACATGCATGCTATGGTCAGTACTTTTGTGAATACTTGTGGGGAACTCCGTAAATATCTCCAGAGGTCTCTCTTTTCTGGTATTATGTCCTACAAATTCTGGCTGCCTTGGTTTCCCCATGTACCCTTTTAACCCCTTAAGTCACAGCGTCGGCTGGGTTCCACCTAGGTTCCAAACCCTGTATTGTGACCTAGAAACTCTCTCAAGACAGTGAGATGGAATAATCATAGGGCTCACCTTGTTTGTTTCTCATCTCTCAGCAATCACCGTCCTTCACTGTGAGATGTTCAGAGTCTCAAGAACCATTCTTACATGCATTTTGTCTTGTCTTTTTTAAGTGTGGTCTCTGTTACTCCCATCTCAGCTGGAATCAAAAATCAAATTTAGTTTTTAGATATATGCAAGTAAAGTCCTGCAAAAGAAGGTATACAGCACTACCAACACTTAGCAAATATCCTAAAAGGTCGGAATTAACACAGGAGTCTTATTTCCCCAGCAGACTTCTCTGAACATAACATGGTACTGATTCAGTCTTAGGATAAGGGTTGTAACAAATTCATCCTGTTGCTTAACCACCATTATCACAGGTAGAAGAAGAGTAGATAAATGCACGAATTCTTGTAGTCACTTTTTGCTATACCATAATGCCAGGTAGAAGGGGAAACTATTTCCTAGGTTTTAAAGATCAGCCCATGGGAGCAGAAGTATTTGATGGTAAAACATTTTTTTAGGTCTTCCCCATTACCTTGTGAATAGTGATAGCCCTTATAGTTTATTTAAGTTTAAAAAAAACACTTCATTTCACTGTCTTGCATCTTTCAGATCGTTTTTCAGGATACATAAGTGTGGCTCAAGGAGATCCATTAATTTGGAAGTGTGAGTGAGATGAACTCATTGCACTATACAGAGAACTAATAAAAATGAGGCCCTAGCACTGAAGCAGTTATTCTTGCTAAACTCAAATCACAGGTGGGTTTTTTTGTTGTATGTTTGTCCTTTTGACAAAAATTTGTTCCTAATTAAATTAGGCATATAATACATCCATAATATGTAAAATTCTTAAGTTGTTAACTCATTACTTGCTTTCAAAACTCTCAAGATTTTTTCCATAGTACCTTTCCCATTGTATTTATTTGCAGATAATCTACTTCACTAAAACCAGCCCACCTTCCAGCATACCCTGAACTTTCCCCTCTACATTTAAAAGTTTAATTAATGTCATTTATTCCATGACATCTCATCACTTCTTCCCAGACCCTTTTCTGACCCCTTATAGTAGCTCACATAATGTCTTTGAGGCAATTTATATGTATGTGTTTTATCATTAGATCACCTACTATCCTACACTTATATTTAATGTTTGAATGACTGAGTAAATTAAAGAATGAATAAAGGAAAGGGTAGTCACATTCATCTTTATGCTTTTGTTTTTTTTAATAGAAAGACAGGTCTTAAATGAGTACAGATCAAATGATACAAAATTAGGAGACAACACTAAAATTTTTTCAGTCACAAACCTGTAAAGTAAGGAGAAATATTTTTCAGCAGATAGTAACAGAGAATAGAAATCAATGAAAAAGTCTAGTGTACAGGATTAAAAACTACACTAGGCAAATGACTGATTTTTAATAGAAAAAAACCAATTGCAATAAAAAATAGTCTAGGAATTTAGAAGTACTACTTGAAACCCTTTGTAGCATTCCCCAATTGAAGGATGGTATTAAGTAGTTACTTGAAATAAACAAACTTTAAAAAAAAAAAGATTAGGACACAAAAACCTACAGAGTGAAGATCATGTTAAGACCCTGGAAGATGAAGGCCATCTACAAGTCAAGGACAAAAGCGCTTAGAAGAAACCAATCCTGCCAGCATCTCAATCTTGATTTTCTAGCCTCCAAAACAGTGAAGAAATAAATTTACTGTTTAAGTCTGCTAGTCTGTGGTGTTTGTTATGGCAGCCTGAGCAAACTAATGTACAAGGTATATGAAGAACAAAGGTACACACCAAACTACAGCACAGAATACAATAAACAAAAAGTAGACTGTGGGAAACTCTCTGGGTCAAACTGTTCTTTATCAAATAAATTGTTTGAAGAGCAATTTGCAATTAATCTTAGAAGAAGATGGATAGAAAAATACCTATGCACTAAAAGATACCTAAAAACTGTATTAAAAACAAAGTGGCAATATGGATTCATTTGGAGGCTCATTCACATTATTTTTAAAATTATATTTGAGAGAAACAGGAATTTGATCACAACTAGGAATTTCATAATATTAAGAAATCATTGGGGGGGCACATGGGTGGCACAGTCGGTTAAGCTTCTAACTTTGGCTCAGGTCATGATGTCAGAGTTTGTGGGTTTGAGCCCTGTGTTGGGCTCTGTTCTAAAAGCTCAGAGCCTGGAGCTTGCTTCAGATTTTGTGTCTTCCCCTCTCTCTGCCACTCTGCGACTCTCACTCTTTCTCTCTCCCTCTCTCAAATATGAAAAAATATTTTTAAAACAATTTTTAAAGAAATCATTGGGGTACCTAGGTGGCTCAGTTGGTTACGCGTCTGACTCTCAATTTCAGCTCAGGTCATGATCTCATAGGCATGAGATCAAGCCCTATGTCAGGCTCTGTACTGATAGTGTGGAGCCTGTTTGGGATTCTCTTTCTCCCTCTCTCTCTGCCCCTCCCCCATTTGCACTCTCTCTTTCTCTCAAAATAAATAAATAAACTTAAAAAAAAGTAATCATTATTAAGGGAAATGGTGTATAGAAATTAAAACTCAGGGGGCTTCTCCTAACAGGAGACACTGTTCATAATAAGCTAAGACCACAAGAGACACAACCCTACAACCTTAGTGTTTGGGTAATCCAGAAGTGGAACAGACCTCTCATGGATTTACAGTCTAGGTTCAAATTCCTTAGGAAGCCCATGGAATCTCAACCTTTAAACTTGGCTTTCTGGATTGATGGGAGCCACAATTACCTGGCACAGCCAAAGAAGAAATCAAAAAAGATAAATCAAAATATTCCTTGAGATACATGAAAATCGAAGTATGATCTATACAAACTTCTGAAGTGCAGCAAAAGCAGTTCCAAGAGGGAAGCTGTTAGCAATATATGTCTACTTGAAGAAACAAGAAAAATATAAAATAAACAATCTAACTCTGTGTGTCAACAAATTAGAGAAAGAACAAATGAAACCCAAAGTTAGTATAAGACAGACTGTAACAGATCAGAATGGAAATAAATAGAAACTAAAAGGTAATAGAAGACATCAATGAAACTAAGAACTATTTTTGGGGAAGTCAAAACTGAGAAGCCTTTAGCTACACTCAGATAAATAAAATGAGAAATGAAAGAGATGTTATGACTGCTACCACAGAAATACAAAGGATCATTAGACTACTATGAATAATTGTACACCAACAAGTTGGACATTTTACAAGAAATGGATAAATTCCTAAAAATAAACAACATACTAACACTGAATCATGAAAATAGAAAAACTGAACAGATATATTACTAATAAAGAGACTTGATTACTAATACAAAGCTTCCCAACAAACCAAAGTCCGAGACAAGATGGATTCACTGGTGCGTTTTACCAAACATTCAAAGAAGAATTAATACCATTGCTTCTTAAATTCTTCCCCCCTGCAAAAAAATAAAAACCCGGAAGAAATAGTTCCAAACTCATTTTACAAGGCCAGCATTACCCTAATAACAAAACCAGTCAAAGATACCACAAGAAAAGAAAATTACAGGCCACTAATGCTGATGAACATAGATGCAAAATGCTTAACAAAATATTAGCAAACCAAATTCAACAATACATTAAAAAGATTATACACCATGACCAAGTGGAATTTTTTCCAGGAATGCAAAGATGGTTCGATATCCATAAATCAATCAATATGATACACCACATTTAAAAAAAGGGAAAGAATCGTAAGATCATCTCAGTAGATAGAGAAAAAGCACTTGAAAAAAATTCAACATCATTCATGATAAAAACTCTCAACAAAGTGGGTATAGAGGGAATGAACCTTACCATAGTAAGGACCATATATGACAAGCTCATGGTTACATTTAATGATGAAAAACTGAAATATTTTTCTCTAAGATCAGCAACAACACAAGGATACCCACTCGCTTTTATTCAACATAGGACTGGAAATCCCAGCCAGAACAATTATGAAAAAAAGGGGGGAGGGAATAAATAAAAGGCATCCAAATTGGAAAGAAAGAAAACTACTGCAGATGCCATGATGTTATACATAGGATACCCTAAAAACTCCACCTAAAAACTGTTAGAATAAACCAACTTAGTAAAGTTGCAGGATATAAAATCAATACACAGAACTCTTCTGTATTTCTATATAGTAATAATGAACTATCAGAAAGATAAATTTTTTAAATCCCCTTTTTGATGGTATCAAAAAGAATAAAATACCCAGGAATAAATCTAACCAAGGATGTGAAACACCTGTACAATGATAACTGTAAGACATTGATGAAAGAATTAAGGGAGACAAAAATGAACAGAAAAATATGCCATGCTCATGGACTGGAAGAATTAGTATTGTTAAAATGTCCATACTAAAACCAATCTATAGATTCAATGCAATTTCTATCAAAATTCCAGTGGCTTTTCACAGAAATAAAGTGAACAATCCTAAACTTTGTATGGAATCGAAAAAGACCCCAAGTTGTCAAAGTAATCTTGAGAAAGAAGAATAGACCTGGAGGCATCATGCTCCCTGATTTGAACTATATTACAAATATCTAGTAATTATAACTGTATGATGTTGGCAGAAATACAGACACATAGATCAATGAAACAGAATAGAGAGCCCAGAAATAAATCCATGCTTATCATGGTCAACTAATTTATAATAAAGAAGGCAAGAATATACAATGAAGAAAGGACATGATCTTCAATAAACAGTATTAGGAAAACTGGACAGCTACAGGCAAAAGAATGAAACTGAACCACTATCTCACACCATATATAAAAATCAACTCAAAGTGGATTAAAGAGCGGAGGGTAAGACCTAAAACCATGAGACCCCTAGGAAGAAAACATAGTAGGTAAGCTTCTTCCTTGAGATCAATCTTGCTGATGATTTTTTATATAATTTGACACCAAAAGGCAAAAAAGCAAATATAAACAAGTGGGATTAAATAAAACTAAAAAGTTTCATTACAGCAAAGGAAACCAATAAAATACAAAGGCAATCTAGTGAATGGGAAAAAATGTTTGGAAATTGCTTATCTGATAAAAAGCCTAATATCTAAAATATATGAAAAACACATATAACTCAAGGAAAAAAACAATATAAACTGAATTTAAATAGACAGAGGAACTGAA